ATACGGTCCGCCTTAAGTGGTCCCAAGCTGTAATTCGTAGATTTTAAGATGAAACTTTCCCCTTATAACATATGGTCTATCTTAAGTGGATTGTGGATATACTTCCTAGAATGTAAGAATAATATTGTATCTAGGCATAAGAAAAAAATTGTATTTAAGAAAACGTAATAAAAACACGAGGTAGTTGCCTGCGGGCAGTGGCCCACCAGAACTCAACCGATTTATTAATTCGCACATGCAGTATATTGATAAGTGATAAAACCATGATTTGAGTTTCTGAATGCGTACATGTTTCATACAAATTAGCAAAATTATACTCATATAAATAAATATTATATGATATGTTGAAATGTGCATATCTCCTAAACCAAACTACCAAAGTACAAAACTAAATTAGCTTCATGTAAATACTATAAGAACTTCTACCGACAGTGCGAAAATGGATGAAATCGGAAGATTGCTCATTCTCCATACTACGGCACTGTTAAAAGCTACTAAATGCGCAATAAATCAATTAATTAATACGACAGAGACATTAAATTTTTTCTCCGAGATGGTATGAGAGAGCTTTATGGGAGCCAGTGTGAAAATTGTACGATGTCTGTTCGTCCGTGCAAGCTGTGACTTGAGTAAAAATTTAGATATTTTGATGAAATTTGGTGTGCACGTTCCTTAGAAAAAAAAATATTAGTTCACAGAAGGGGGTAATCTGATCACTGCAAGGCGCACAAAACGATATTAACCGAAAAATTGTAAAATGGCATAACTAAGCATTAAATTAAGATAGAGAACTGTAAATTCGCATAGGGGATCGCAGTAGAGGGGCACAAATTTTTTGCATTTTTCCTAAATCACTAAAGCTACAAAACTAATTTCCCTTCACGTAAATATTATAAAAACTGCTATCGACAGGATGAAATCCGAAAATCGCTGTATATAACGGTACTGTTCAAACTACTAAATGTGCAATAAATCAATTACTAAATACGAAATGGACATTACATTTTACGTCCGAGATGGGATGGAGATGAACGTTGGGCTCGGCACCACCTTCATAAAGTCCTATATCTCGGGACCCGACCGACCGATTTCGACTAATTTTGGTAATAGCATTCTCCTCATATACCTATGACACAGTGAGAAAATGGGCGAGATTTAACTGCAAATATGACTACTTCCCATATAACACAATTTTATATTTCATTTGATTCATTTATAATTATATTAAAGTATGCCACCTTATGTTCAACTGTTCAAGCCACTAGGTACCGAATATGCCGACCCCAGTACCTATAGATAACTTTTGACTGAAAATACCATATATGTTGGTCAATGTGTGAGATATGTATACAATTCAATTTCATAGAATACTTTCCTGACAATAGTATTTTTGTGTACCAAAAATTGGTTGAATTGGATGAAAACTTCCCTGAGCCCCTTTATACCTAATATAAACCTCCAGGTGACTTCATTTTAGATATTTCGAGCAATGTTTCAGTTTTATCCTCGAAAATTATGGAATGTGTTTTACCCATAATATATCTTTGTGCCTAAAAAAATCTGTGTATAATTATTTTCGTTTTTCCAAAAAATATTTTGCCAAATTTCTCGGTCAGTGTGTGAGTTATATAGAGTGAATTTATATACAGAATTGCTTAGATTCCGAACCTCGTAAGGTATTTTTGTAGGTTTTATTCTTACAAGTTGTAAGAGTAGGGTTAGCATATTCCCTGATTTGCCTGGTCGTGCATATGCAAAAGGGACTACACCCGAAAGTAGCCCTTTCTTACTTGTTTCGAAAATTGTTGGTAAGTATAGTTATGGTCAAATTCATGGTAACTATCGATAGCAAGACGGAAATGAAAAATCGTTACTTTACTCCCATCGATTGTTTGGAGCTTGTTTCTTCTAGATGTTTTCATGCCTAACGGAGCCAAGGTCCCCACTGATATCCCCCACAATTTTACATCTATTTTTAATATTGTATATTAAATTTACAATGTTTCTTGACACAGTGCACAATTTTTTATTATTGGAAACTATACCAAACTGCCAGACGAAATACCCCAGAATCATTAAGTTGTTTTGCATATCGCTTCCAAGAACCTCAATGCTTGTCGCTGATTTTATTAAAAAAAATAAAATATCAGTTGATTTGTGAAATATTTAATTGGAACGAAAATAATGTAAATAAAATCCGTTCTGTAACTTTTAATCAACATAATCAACTTACACCCAGCATTCATTATTTAATAATGTTAGCCCGAATAGACCATGTTCAGTACACAGTGAAGAAAAAACAGCCGTAGCTAAGAGTGCACACGAAGACCGTGGAGAGCCAATTCGTCGCCGTTCGCAGCAACTCGAATTGACGTATAACACGACTTTGCGCATTTTACGTTGAAATCTTAAATTGTAAGGATACAAAATACAGCTTCTGCAAGAACTGGAGTCACTTGACATTCCCAATCGCTTTTGAAAAGATCCAAGTAGAACCGACGTTTTCAAACGAAATATTGTTCAGAAATGAGGCCCATTTCTGGCTCAATGGGCAAAGCTGCCGCATTTGGGACGAAGAGCAACGTGAAGAGATTCAAGGGCTGCCATTTAATCCAGAAAAAACACTGTTTTTTTGTTTATTAATGTCGATGAGAACGTTAACCGCAATCTCGTCCGTTATAGTGCCATGATAACTGACTATTTGGTGCCTGAGATTGAAGCTCTTGATTTCGGAGACATTTGTTTTCAACAAGACTGCGCCTACTTTCCTTACACCAAGATCGTGTGATATCGCATCCTTAGACTATTCTATTGGGTATTTGTAAGGTCTGAGGTCCCCGCTTCGATTCAGGCCTTGGAGCAAAACATCACGCGAGTTACGTCGACATCGATGCCAACCACCATATGCATGACCGATATGAATGCAACTGTAGTGCATAAGAACTGCAATAACGAAATAATGCAGACGTCAACGTTACCGGCCTACCCCAAACTGCTTAAAATCAATTGGTTAACTTAAAATATTTACCTTTTTTATTTTCGCAACAACGTTGCGACCACACGAAATATGCATATCATATTTCGAAACTAACTAGAGCACTTACACTACATCACATTGCAAAAACAACAAAATACAAAAAGAAATTAACTTCACAATAAATAATGCAACGTAAGCATTTAAGGGAATGCGATTGATGTAATGCGAGAAGTAGGCCACTTGACAAATATTGTCGCAACTACAAGTGCTAAATTCTAAATAAACTGACTGAAGAATTTTGACGGTTAATTCGACAAGTCGAGTTTTTCTATTCGCGATCCGCTAAACCGAAGTTTAGCATTAATAATAATATTTGACAACAAAAATTTAAAAATTTAGTATTAACATGGGTTCAATAACTACAACTCGCGTGTCATTCGCCAGTTACTAGTCGAAATGCTCGATCGAGTCTCAAAGAAGGGACCATCTGAGACGTAGCCGCAGCCATCATTTGAAAGAGATAATCTTCAAAAAAAAAAATGCCAAAGAATGTTAATTCGAATGATAAGAAATATTCTCCATTAAATTTGAACGTTCTTTTTTGTACGGTAGTATACATCACCTAAAACTAAGCGAGATAGATATAAAGTTATGTATATATACTTGATCAGGATGACTAAGCGAGATAGATATAGAGTTATGTATACATACGTGATCAGGATGACGAGGAAAGTTGAAATCCGGTTGACAGTCTGTCTGTCAGCCCGTGCAAACTGCAACTTGACAAAAATTGAGATATCTCGATCCCCTTGATAACTTGGCACGTAGATTCCTTAGTACAAAACAATTGCGAGTTCGTAGATGGGCGCAATCGGACCTCGGGACCCGACTTACCGATTTTGAGAAAATTTATTACGTGGCATTATCCTTACGAAATCGGACAACAACCTACTTCCCACATAGCACAATTTTCAACTCCGCTTGATTTGTTCAGTTTCCAGTACATAACTCAAGAAGCAATTAATATAACGGTATACAACTTTGCACGTATAATGTCCTTGTGTGTGTCAACTTATGACTAATGTCGGTCAAAGTGTTATGGAAATGTCGGTCAATGTGTGATATATGTAACTTAAATAAAAAGGTAATTCTTCTCTTATAATGGGTTGTCTGTATGTATGGGTGGAATGGGACCAATACTTCCCTTTTAACACTTACTTATACCCCCATATACTTAATAAGTATACAGATTTTAGTACTTCGAGGGGACTTTGTACCGGCCAATATGTGACTTATCCCAATAAAAATGAGAAAAATGTGTCTTTTATTCATAATTTAATTCATAGTCCACCTCTTCAACCCTGGAGAGAGCTTGGATTGTTCAATGTCCTTAAGTAGCGTTGTGTGGTTGTCTGTGCCAAATAATTTTACAAGCGAACGCTACATGTATGGTCCTCTCCTTCAGCTATCTGAGTGTTTATGACGCTTAGTGCACTTTGCGGAAACCAGACTGGTGGTCTGCTAGACTTAGGTAGTAGGTGAATGTTGGGAGTAGCAAGACCTTTATCTATCTATCTATCTATTTCTGTTAGTTCTGCTTCAATGGACTCCAAACACTTGTTCCACGCGTTCCTTCAATAGGTCATTCACCACTAGCAAGTAGAGCGAGGGCAGCGAACCTTCCGAAATGCACGAGAACTACTGCATATGTCACAACGGCTCTGCCGCAAATGATATTACGGATGATTTGATGAATTTTCCTTGATATCATATTCATTATGTTATTAAAGGTCCCCTAGATATTGAGAAGGGTACCTTCCTCCCAGATTGACAAATAAGGGCTCCTTAGATTAACCACTTTTTATATGCTGGGAAATAACTACTTATTTATCTTAATAATAAAAAGAGAGATTGAAAACACGAAAATTTTATTTTGAATTAATTAATATTTCCACATGCAATGTTTATAAAACAAAAAATGTATTTTTAATTTGCATTTCATTTTATTATTTTCGTCTAACAGAGGATAAAAATCCCTTTGGGTCTTTAAGTGGGCAAATCCTTCCAGCCGGAGAAAAGTCTACATTCACTTGGAAACGTAATGGGGTTGAATTTGACCCAGAAGAACGATTTAAGGTTTTGTTCGGCGAAGACGAAGACTCTCTGGCTCTAGTATTTCAACATGTTAAGCCAGAGGATGCAGGAATTTATACATGTGTAGCTCAAACTACGACAGGCAACATATCATGTAGTGCGGAGCTAACTGTTCAAGGTGCTATACAAACACTACACAGAGAACCAGAAAAGCCAGTCTTGGTTATCGAACATCGTGAAGCTAATACAACAATAGGAGGCACAGCAATTCTAGAATTACAGTGCAAAGGCTTTCCTAAACCAGGAGTTGAGTGGAAGCATGATGGTGAAATTATTGAAGTAGGCGAAAAACACAAAATTTTATATGCCGATGAGGAAAGCATGTCCTTAGTCATTAAAAATATTACTACAGAAGACGCAGGGGAATATACCATCCATGCAAAGAACGAACTAGGGGAGGATGAGTCATCTATAAGCCTGGTTGTAAAAGGTATGTATGTATGTCTTATTTTTTTTACTATTGCAACATGTTGCTAGATAGTATAATAGTTTCGTTCACTTAACAGTTGTACGTATCACTTAAATTAAGCGAGATAGATATACGGTTAAATATAAATGAATATTAATGTCTGTCCGCCCGTGCAAGCTGTAACTTGAGTAAATATCTTGATGAAAATTGATATTCGGGGTCATTGGAACAAAAAAATTACGAACTCGTAGATATCGCCAATAACATGAGCTATATTCATGATAATTATCGAACATGTTTCACACATAACATATCTTTGTGCCTAAAATTAATAAAATTTTTCGAAAACTTGAACTACTCCCCATAAAACTAATCTCAAGATTTTCGAACATCTTAATGGTTTAATTATTAAAATTGATATCGGAAAATCTCAAGTTATATATTATCTTTAGTTTATGGCATATAAAGATCTGCTGACAATATAAAACGTTTGCTATAACCTGATAATCAGAAATGAGTCGGGCACGAACATGTAAATAAAAATTTATTAACGAAATTAAATTTTATTTTTTCCTTTCTTGTGAGTTATGCTTCCACTAATAAATCCCCTGAATAGACGCTACGAAAGTGTGAGAGTTCTTTCTGCTTAAATATTAACTCATATTATGTTGTAATGTCAAGAAAATCCATAAAGAACTTATACTCTATTTATATTTATAAAATATTGGAGAGAAAGTCAACGCAACTTTCACCAAAAATTATGGGAGTGCTTTGCTCGTTTGAAACGAAATGATAACCATATATTGACTGAGTCTTTTTACTATAATGTGGATTGCAGGAATACACACAAATTTTACCTTTTTTCATTCCAATAGGAAGCAGTCTTTGAGACTACTATATATTACTCTTCTTCACTAGCGTAGATACAGCTTACGCGGTTATAGCCAAGTTTACAACAGCACATTAGACCTGCGCCGAATACATTTAGAGCTGGAGTATTTTCGTCCATTCGGACGACATGTCCTAGCCAGCAGAGCCCATGTCTGATAATTCCCTGAACATTATCAATGTCGTCGTATATCTCACACAGCTCATCATTCCCTTGAATGCGATATTCGCCATGGCTAATTCGCAAAGGTCGATATATTTTCCACAGAACGTTTCTCTCGGAAACTCGTAACATCGACTCATCAGATGTTGCCATCGTTCATGTTTCTGCGCCATACAGTTTGAAGTAACACCTGTTGGCAAGGGCTATTCTGCGTTGGATTCCGAGGCTAACACCAGTTAATACTGGTTCCAAAATAGATGAAATTTTTTACTGCTTCGAAGTTATGACTGTCCACAGTGACTCATTCGTTAGTTGACTGTCGACGCGAATAGTGTTTTCGGTGATTTTCTTTTGTGCGGTAATTTCTTTACGCATTTAGCTGGCACCGTTATTGCCTGGCGGAGGATGGAGTCATGTGTAGAAGTTCACGCAAGTGAGGAAAGTTTTCTGATCGCCATTCACGTGGGAGTGGCCAGAAACGATTCTTTTACATATAACTCAAGCAGCTCACGACTTCCGGTCCTTGACCAAGTATCCTCTGGGTAGCCTAAGAACATCCGTTTGAAGGTGAGCTAAAGTGAGAAGGCGAAAYATTCCCTGCATAGGGTTGTGCGCTGGGTTTGAGACCCGCCACGTAAAAAACCACCCCAATGAAAACGCAACAACAGCCTCGGATGAGAGACCCCACTTTTGATGACGACTATGGCAAACGAAATAAGGACTACGAATTGAGGGCATGCACCTGGAATGTCC